TCTCATTTAATCTGTGTCTAATCATCAATTATGTTGCCACAAATAACATTAACTTAAAATATCTGGTGGTCTCATTGCTTTGAGAGGCCATCCTTATCATTTGTTAGGCTTTTATATGTGGTGAGAACTATTTTTGAGCTTTCTATCTCATTTCATTAGCCTGCCTATTCATGTGTTGTAATCTCACAGGGTTTGTATTGTGCTCAAATACCAAGCCAGGTTAATCCTATCTTAGAGATTTTCCTTTCTACCAAGCTAACTTAGGCTATTTGTTTTTAACATCTGAATTTAAGACTTGTCCTTTTGATGTTCACTGAACCGCTCATTGGGATTTATTCAAAGCTAACTAAAGTGATAATATTTAAGCTCAAATCATTTAAGACAAAGCATCCTCAAGAATTATGAGGCATTCTCCTCTTTCCCTTTTGCTTCAATCTTCGATTCTCCAGCACTGCCTCATGGGTTGGTTCATAGACATTCTGAACCTATTCCTAATGTCTAACATCTTGCTGCTGCACTTGCATCAGTAACCATATGAATACTATTAGTCTTTGCTAATTTTGTATCTTTGCATTGCTTCATTTCTTGAGTTTATTTATTTATTTATTATTTATTTATTTATTTATTTATTTATTTATTTATTTATTTATTTTTTGGATTTTCGAGACAGGGTTTCTCCGTAGCTTTTGGTTCCTGTCCTGGAACTAGCTCTTGTAGACCAGGCTGGCCTCGAACTCACAAAGATGGATTCACGTGGGTGAGAAAAGTAGCTTCATGTGCCATTTTACAATTTTGGTATGGCTATTTTTTTTAGTTTTTATAGTCTTTAGAGCTTTGTCTCATTTAACTGCACTGATTACGCTTCAGAGCAATAAAAAAGAGCAATGGAAGAAAGAAGCTTCCCTGTCTTGATCCTGCTCTTGCCATTGTATAATTCTGATCTTTTTTTCTTACCAAATATTTGACTTTCTTTTCTCCCTTTTTTTTAAAAAAATTTTAGTCTGAATCACTGTCTTTTTGACCCTTTAAAGCAGGACTAGGTCTCTGTCTTTTTTGTAGGAACTCTCAGACTGTGTATACTTACTCATCTATATTTGTTTTTCATGTGAGTATTCAAGGGACACTGTCTGTTGTCCTGCCTCAACATTATAGAATAATTTTCAAGTATAGGAATAAGTAAATATGTCTTTATTCTTTCACACTAAAACCAAAAGTCCCATTACAGTTTTCTTGTTTTTTTTCACATATGTATATTATAGTAACTTTAATCCAAGTATAGAAGTTTGAAATGTAATAAATTTTCATTTCTGGAACCGAGATGTTACTTCAGTGAATTAGTACCTATAGTACAACCATAAGGATCTGAGTGTGGATCCCCCCAGAATTGACACAAAAATCCAGGCATGGTGGTGCATCTCTCCATCACTGTGAGAATGGGTCATATAGGTAACTCCCCAAATTGTATAGGCCAGTCATGTCAGCAAATGAATGAACTTTAAGTTCAGTGAGAAATCCCAAATGAAAAAAAAAATTGAGGTGGGGAGCAATCAAGGAAAGATATGCAATATTCATTTCTGGCTTCCACAGGTATACATGTACATGTGTACCTATGTACACATTCACACACTAACAAATGCATACACCACAAACCTCTATCACACACACACACACACATGCATACACTTATTTGTGAGCACACACACACACTTCTATTTCACAGACTAAACCATATAATTTCTAGCTTTCCCAGAACTACATCTATTTTTTTTCTATTTTTCTTATGAGAACTTCTTTAGTAGTAAAAGGATAGAAGACATGTTACATTAAATCATCAAGCTCATTTTAGTTTTCTAATTTAATTAAGATCTGACATGCTCTTAGGTTTAGGTATCAAATTATATAAAATTGGTATTTCTTACATATTTGCATGAGCAATAATAATTCAATAGCCATGTATAAATAGATATAGAAGTAGATATTACAATGGACAGCTGTTAAAGTAAATGTTTAAAAGATAAATCTTTATGGAAAAAATTCTAATCAGTCTTACTGTTAAAAGATTAAGATGAATATGTAGTGGCATTTCAGTTGTATTTTAATAAATAAAGATTGCCTGAAGATCTGTGAGTAAAACAGTCCCCTGGTCAGATTACAGACCAGGTTATTGTAGCATACACCTTTAATCTCAGTAGCCATAATGACATACACCTTTAATCCCAGTAGCCACACTAGTTGTCATAGAAACTGGGCTGTGTACCCCTTTAATCCCAGCCCTAGAAAGGAATATAAGATGGGAGGAGACAGCTCTCAGACAGTCTCCTTTAAAGATTCCGGGAAGCAGGATCATCGTTTTTGGACTGAGGTCGAGGTGAGAGCCAGTGGCTAGATGTTTTGTTTTTTGGATCCTCAGGTTGAACCCCAATTTCTGACCCTGAATTTTTAATTGTGCTGCAAGAATATGTATAAATAGGATGACAGACTATTGCCCAAAAGACTAGCCTGGGCCCACTGCCCCTAATAGATCTTAGGAAGTTATTGGTATTTCTATCTTAAGATACTATCTAGAACTTGGTCACTATTAGCACCAAGCACAACCAGTTTTCTGTTCTTAGCTGTTAATCCTTTTATCTGAAAAGTTTCATGGATCCTTGGAGAAGTGCTTGGTTCTTGGAGAGATGTGCAGAAAGTTTGAAAATATGCTAGTACAACCTGAAGCCCCCTCTTCATGGCTGAAAACAAAAGTGAAACTAAAGATGAACTACCAAAGGCCAGAGATGCAACAGACGTGTACTGTGAGCCACAGAGCCAACAACACAGCACAAGGTTATAGGCAAATCTCAAAATAAAGATAAACACAGGCTGGTATAAATGAGGGCTGATTTGCATTATCAAGGAAAAGAGAACTTTTCCTATATGGAAGGATCTCAAATATTTTTGTACATACTCTTCATCAAAGCCTCAAAACTTGCTCGCTCCATTAATGTCAACTCTGCTTAATGTCTCACTCCCACAAATTGAGTGCTTGTTTTTAGTATTACCAACATAAGTATAAGAAAACCATTTTGAAATAGTAATTAAGAAGAAAAACAAATTGAAAGGCTAATCCCAGTTTTGCTTTTCTAATATCTGAAAATCTGTTGAGTTTTTTCATCTTATATGAGTGTGTTTTTTTAAAATGTGAAACTTAATTAGCAAGTGATAAAATTGTCTTGCCCATTGGTTTTAAAGGTCTAGCTCACTAATAATTTATGGATTTGTATCAAGCTAGAAGGGACTGCTACTTTAAATACATTACTCATGATCTTATAATTTGGGTTTTATAGCTCTAATTGAATATTTTTTCCATTTATAATGTCACAGCCTTCAAGATTTAACTTAATACTGGCACATTATATTTCTTATGTTCCCCACCAAGCCTTCTCAAAAGGTTCAAGTGTATGTGTGTGTCAGTGTGTGATTGTCCTAGATTTCCCTTTTTACAAATTGTTTTACTTTTATATCAAATGCACAATTTGTGAAAAGAAAAAAGTAAATATCACTGATAATTAATATTCCATCTTCTTGACCCAGGATATTGTAAAAATACTGCCTTGTTCCTTTCCTAATCATATCACCTTTTAAACCACCATGTGCTCAAACCTGAGGATTGAATTCAGGTTGTCTGACTTGGCATCAAGTGCCTTTAGTAGAAGCTTTTCTTGAAAAACATTAATTTCTAATCTCACAGGCCTTCCATCATTTCCAATTTTTGGTGAATTAAAAGATCAATTCATCACCTTGCTTTTATAAACACACTTTGCCATTGTCATTTGCCCACCAAAGTAGCCATTTGCAATAGCTACTTTTCTATTGATGTGATAAAACACTGTGACCAAGGCAACTTATAGGTGAAATAATTTATTAGGGCAATGGTTCTAGAAGGCAAGAATAGAGAAAGCAAACTAGAAGTGGCTCAAGCTGTTTTATTTTCCATGCCTCCTCCAGTGACATTCTTCCTGCAACAAGGCCTCAGCTCCTGCACCTACCCTAACAGTGCTACCAACCAGGGAAAAAAAAAATTCAAATGCTTAAGCCTATGGGGAATATCTCATTCAATCCATTACATGCTTGCTCTGTGTTTTAACATCTAAGTGATCAATGCACTGGTGTGCTTTAGCTTGCCAAGAGTAACGATTTCATTCAAGATGTCAATAAGCTCTCACAAGATATGCAAAACCTAGTATCATATTCTGTATACTTCCCATATGTCTTACAAAGCTAAGTACAGTTGATTTACATTAAAAAATCATAGGTCTAGCACAAAAAATGTTTGACAATATAGATATTTCCTGCAGAATTTGTTTTAAATTTTAGCTTATTGTGTGTGCATACTTATATACTTATTATAAATATGTGTATGTTATGTGTGTGTGCATTTGTGTGGGTGTGCAAGAACATGTGAATGTATGCATGCAGTGGACAGAGGTTGACATCGGGTGTCTTTTTCAATCATTATCTTTGTCTAGAAACATATTTTATTTTTACTTTATTTGTATGTGTATTTACACATATGTGCAAGTATTCTTAGAGACCAGGAAGAGATGGCAGATTGATTTTAGAAACCCTGAAACTGGCAATACGGGTATCTGTGAGCTGCCTGCCATAGGTTCTCTGTCAAATTCTGGTTCTCTAAGAATACCAGAGTCCTCTTTCTTGCACCTCCACCTTATTTTTGAACTTGACATTAACTGAGTAATCTAGGCTGGCCAGCAATCCTAAGGGATCCCTCTACCTCCCAGGCACCGGGATTATGGGTACACTGCTCCAGGCAGCTAGTTATACTGGTGTTAGGGATCTGAAGCAGTCCTCACACTTCCATAGCAAAAGCTTCACTAACTGAGCCATTTCCTAAGTCCTGGACGAGAAATCATCATGGAGAACTGATGGAGGAAGGTCATTGGTTAATTATAATAAACCAACTGCTTGGCCTCATAGTATAGAACATAGGTGGGAGGAGTAAACAGAATAGAATTCTGGGCGGAAGAAGAAGTGAGGTCAGACTCTGCTCTGCTTCTGGAGAGACACCATGCTCCACTCTCCCAGGATGGACGGAGGATAGAATCTTCCCGGTAAGCGCACCTTGGGGTGCTTACACGCATTATTAGAAATGGGCTAGTCCAGGTGCAAGAATTATCCTGTAAGGGCTAGAGTTCATGTGCCAAGCAGTTCTTAAATGAATACAGTTTGTGTGTTGTTATTTCGGGCATGAGCTAGCCAAGTGGCCAGGGTGTTGGGGACGCAGCCCTGCCGCCGCTCCTATTTCAACAGAGAACATAGGTACCTTTGCACTTTACAAAGTCCTTAGCCAACCAACACACACATTTCACAAACTGCTCTCCTCTCCCTAAGCACCGTGCAGCTCCAACAGTCTCTACTTTATTCCTTCATTTTACAACTAATAGACAGGAAGTTTGGAAACTCCAAATATCCAATATGCAGAAATATTTACTAACTTCGCTCCCTTGAACATACCAAAAGTATAACTGGATAAAATGTAAAATACATGGTGTATTTCAACATTTCCTCATTTCCCCACACAATGGGCATTACACTGAGGCAGAGATGGATCTGAGAACCCAGCATATTCACAGATACAGGTTTATGACAGGGTCACAGTTCATGTTGACACTGAAGTCCCCCTGCCTTCAGCTTTTGTCAGTGTAACACAGGTATGCGTACTGTGTAGAAATGGCAAAGGTACATGCTAGTTGCATTAGTCAATGACATAGCCTACTCACAGTGAGCAGTATCAACTGGAAAACTTGGATTAAAGAGGATTAAAACTTTTGCTGCCCAGGAAGTAAATCTTAAAGACTAATGGGATCTTATTTTAGAACATGAAAAAAATAAGGAAGGAAGGAAGGAAGGAAGGAAAAAAGAAAGGGAGGGAAAGAAAGAGAGAGAATGAAAGAAAGGAGGGAAGAAAGTAACAAAGGAAGAGAGAGAGAAGAGAAGGAAATACAGGCAGTTGCTTTAATAGTTATTAATGGTTGTTGTCAGGCACACAACTATTGACTGAAGATGAATCAGACTAGCTATAAAAAGCATTTGGGTTCTGGGCATGGAAGGAAGAGAAAAGGACCTATAACTGCTCATAAGCTCACCAAAGATAGTCTGCTAATTAAATATCAGAGTGTTTACCTCCAACAGCCATTATGGGAAGCTAATGAACTTGTTCAAAGGATGCAAGCGAGTTATCACCCGCTTTGTCAGTCAATAGAGCTGTAAAGAAGCAATTTCCATCCCTGTAGGGACCCACAGGTTCATTCAGAAGCCACCAGGTTTTAATTAGCTTCAAACCAGCCATACTGAGTGGTAAAATTTAGCCATCCACCTTTTTGTCACATGAAAATCATTTTTAAATATAAAACACAGGGTGAAGTTGTGCATGCCTCTATGTATCATTCATTTTATCTAGAACAGGAAGGAAAATTAAATATAGAAAGAAAACAATGGTCTATGTCGAAATGGCTATAATACACTCAGAAAAGATCAGGAGAAACTGGCTGAACAAAAGAGTGATTGTTCCATATGTCACTTTTAGAAAGCTACAAAGTATGGCAGAGTAATACAATCCAGTGCCTTGTCTATGCTGCCTATGACACATGTAGCTCTGGAATGTATAATGGTTTCTATAAAGATATATTCAATTTTAGAATATTAAATTACATTTAAGATAAGCATTTACCATGCTATGAATAGCTGTGTTAAAATATTTTATTGCATTTTAGTGTGTGTGTGTGTGTGATATGTGTGTGTGTGCACATAGGTATATGCACTTGGATGCAGGTGTCCAAAATGTTTCTGCCTGGACCAGGCATTCCAGGAGATTGTAAGTTGCCTGACGTGGATGTTTGGGACCAATTTGGGTCCTTTGCAAGAGGTGTTCATAACTGCCGATAACTTCAGCTTAGGGAACAAAGCAGATAGGAAGTGTGTAAAGCCACCAGAAGATAGGTGAAGGGCCATGAAATGCCTTTCTCTATATCAATACCACCACTGCAATCATTCATTTGCATCTGCAGTTGCCTGAACTGTGTCCTCCCAAGTCAAAGCAGAACGATTTGCCTTACCTCTGAACTAGTGGCTACCAATAAGTTGGGAGAGGGAAAAATCACTGTCTTTAGTTGTATGCCTACTGCTGAGCCAACCAGGCTCCAGCAGACAGTTCCATTCCCATGGATAAACAAACGGTCCTGGCTAATCTCAGTGGGTCACAAAACAAAAAGAACAGACGAGAACATGTGAGAGAGTTGTAGGCAGGAAAAGGGTAAAATAGGGAAGGCAATGAAGTGACAGCAAGTGTAATCACTATGCATGGCATACATGTACAAAGTTGTATAAAGACATGTTTAATTAATAAAAAGATAAGGATATTTCTGAAACCTATACATACTATCATTTTTAGAACTTGAATTAAGTAATAATAAAACTACTGGGGGTAAGACTAAACTTTTCCACCTTTCTTCCTTTTTTCCTCCCTTCCTCCTCTTTTCATCCTTCCTTCCTTCTTTCCTTCCATCTGTCCCTTCTTCTTTCCTTCCTTCCTTCTTTCCATCATGAAAGTTTTACAGTTATTAAGCAGTATTTCCTCACTGTACTCTCCCCTCAGTTTCTGCTAACCACCACTGAATCTAACCATTCTAGGAATCATATCTTAGTTTGGGAAACTGTTGTAAGGAGGACGCTTGTTGGTTCACAGCTGCTCAGCCCCAGAAACTGTATTAATTAAATCACTGCTTGGCTCATTAGCTCTAGTTTCTTATTTGCTAACTCTTGCATCTTAATTTAACCCATCTCCATTAATCTGTGAATCATCACGAGGTTGTGGCCTACCAGCAAAGTTTCAGCATGTCTGTCTTTAGTGGTGGCTCCGTGGCTTCTCCCTGACTCTGCCTCCTTTCTCCCAGCATTTGGTGTAGTTTTCACTGCCTACATATGTTCTGCCCTGTCAACAGGCCAAGACAGTTTCTATGTTCACCAATGGTATTCACAGTATACAGAGGGGAATCCCACATTACCCCTCATTTTCTGTTTAAATAAAAAAAGAAGGTGTTATCTTTAACATAGTAAAATTACATATAACAAAACGGGTATTAAGCAAAAATTATAGTTACAATATTTATATCTACTTTATGCTTTATCATAACTAAAGAAAACTTAAAATCTTTCAGATATCTTCAGAATATGGCATTTAAATTATTAATTTAAGACTTCATGACAGTGAGATACATCTGCTTCTGGCAGCACTAATTACTCCAAGAGGAAGATGGACATTGAAGAGGCACATTACGGAGTTTGCTAGCCATTTGGGCAAGAAACTGCTCTTGCCTGGACTGCTTCATAAACTGGACATACAGGACCTGGAGAGAAATGACTTCTTGCCTAAAGGTGAGACAATCCTTTAGGGTTCCTGCTTCATGAAAGAGTCTGCTAGACATTCTGCAGGATACAGAAAAAAGTGACTGACAAACTGCCAATATAGGTGGCATTGTCTTTGAAATGTCCTGCTTCATGGAAAAGTATGCTGGATACTATAGGTCTGTAGGCTGAAGATGGATGCCCTAATGGTACAGAAGAACTTTGGGTGACTGTCTAGACAGTAAGATATCTCTGTCAATTCTAGAGTTTTGGAAGTTGCTTACAATGCACTTCCTGTTTACTTAGGTAATACTATATCCTTCTTGAGTCTTTGATGGAATTGAAAAATACCTATATAACTGAAAGGTATCTCTAAATATCTAGAAAATCTAACTAACATGACTACAAGCTTGACTATTATAGATGACTCTCTATTAACCTATATTTCTTAATTATACAAAAAAAACAAACTAACCTAAAATTTGTATCAATAAACCAAGATCCATACCAATGCAATCTCTACAGCAGGAAACTAGAAGGAAATGCCATAAAAACGTAGCTTATGGACAGCAGAGATTTATTTATCATGGTTCTGGATGCTGGGAAGTCTAAGACCAAGGTCCTTGACAGATTTGATGTCTGCAGAGACTTTGTCGCCAGAAACTGAAACACTGCTATCTACTTGTGTCCTCAGGGGTGGTAAAGAGAACAAAGTATGGGAAGAACAAGAATCCTATTCATAAGGGAAGGGAAGAATAATCATCCAAAGGGCATCACTTCCCAATACCTTTAGTTTGCCTGGATCTTATATGATTTGAGGTATAGAACAGTATTTATCCCTTAAGTCTGGTTTCAAATCCCTTAGTATGTTTTCAAATCTTATCCATGTCATATCACGTAATCGATTCTTATTTATTTCGAAGGTTAAATAATATTAATATACTATATTAACAATGATGTATAACAATATAATATATTATAATATTAAAATGTATAATATAATATACAATAAGATATACAATATTATATAATGTTAATAATCTATGATAACAATAATATATACTGCATGTATATACCATATATTGTTTACCCATTTGCCAACGGATCTTTGTGTTGTTACCACATTATGGCTATAAAAAATGAGGCTTCTAGGAACACCAGTGTGCAAGTATCTGTTTGCGCTCATAATTTCAATTATTGGCATAAAAAGCTAGAATAAAATTTCTGGTTTTAAGGTCATTTGATTTCTTAATTATATTTTTATTGATTTTAATGAGCTATACATTTTTCTCTGCTCCCCTTCCTGCTTCTACCCTCCCCTTCAACCCTTTCCCATGGTCCCCATGCTTTCAATTTACTCAGGAGAGCTTGTTTTTTACTACTTACTATACAGATTGTCTTTTACCACTTGCCATATAGACTCTGTATGTCCCTCTTAATATCCTCATTGTTGTCTAGGTTCTCTGGGATTATGATTTATAGGCTGGTTTTCTTTGCCTTATGTTGAAACACCACTCATAAGTGAGTACATACAATAATTGTATTTCTGGATCTGGGTTCCCCCACTCAATGTGTTGTTTTCTAGATCCATCTATTTGCCTGCAGATTTCAAGATGTCATTATTTTTCTCTGCTGTGTGGTATTCCGTTGTGTAAATGCACCACGTTTTCTTTATTCATTCTTCAGTTGAGGGTCATTTAGGTTGTTTCTAGTTTCTAGCTATGACAAACAAAGCTGCTAGGAACATAATTGAGCATATGTCCTTATGGTACAATTGACCATAATTTGGATATATATCGAAAAGTAGTATTGCTGGGTCTTGAGGAAGGTTGTTTCCTAATTTTATGAAAAATCATCATACTGACATCCAAAGGGGCTGTAACAGCTTCCATTCCCTCCAGCAATGCAGGAGTGTTCCCTTTACCCCACAACCTCTCCAGCATAAATTGTTATCAGTATTTTGATCTTGGCCATTCTAACAGGTGTAAGATGGAATCTCAGAATTGTTTTGATTTGCATTTCTCTGATGGCTAAGGATGTTGAACATTTCCTTAAGTGTCTTTCAGCCATTTTAGATTCTTCTGTTTAGAGTTCTCTGTTTAGGTCTGTATTCCATTTTTATTGGGTTGCTTGTTCTTTTGATGACCAATTTCTTGAGTTCTTTGTATATTTTGGAGATCAGACCTCTCTCTGATATAGGGTTGGTGAAGATCTTTTTCTATTCTATAGGCTACATTTTGTCTTGCTGACCATGACCTTTGCTTTACAGAAGCTTTTCAGTTTCAGGAGGTCCCATTTATTAATTGTTTCTCTCAGTGTCTGTGCTACTGGGGTTATATTTGGGAAGTGGTCTTCTGTGCCAGTGCATTCAAGTGTACTTCCCACTTTCTCTTCTATAAGGTTCAGTGTGGCTGGCTTTATGTTGAGGTCTTTGATCCATTTGGACTTGAGTTTTGTGCATGGTGGTAGATAACGCTCTATTTTCATTTCTCTACATGTTGATATCCAGTTATGCCAGCAACATTTGTTAAATGTACTTTCTTTTTTGCCATTTTATATTTGGTGTTTCTTTGTCAAAAATCAGGTGTTTGTAGGTCTGTAGATTAGTATCCATATAACATGAGGGGGCCTGGCTTGTTTGTTTGTTGGGGTTCTTGTCCCGCCCAGTACCCCGCAACTGTTTAGTCCCAAAGAAAATCACACAAAGATCTCTATAAGTTATAAAGCTGATTGGTCCATTAACTCTAGTCTCTCACTAGCTAACTCTCACATCTTGATTAACCCATTTTTCTGATCTATGTTAGCCATGTGGCTCAGTACCTTTTTTCAGTGGGGCAGATCACATCCTGCTGCTTCTGTGGTCTGAGCAGGAGTGGGAGGAATCAACTTCCTCCTTCCCAGAATTCTCCTGTTCTGGTTTTCCCACCTATATTTTCTGCCTGGCCAATCAGCGTTTATTTATAACATGATTGACAGAATACAGACAATTCTCCCACACCATATCCAGATTTTTGATTCAATTCCACTGGTCCTCTTTTCTGTTTTTATGCCAATACCAGGCTGTTTTCAGTATTATAAATCCCTCTGTAGTATAGTTTGAGGTCAGGGATTGTGATGCCTCCAGAAGTTCTTTTATTGTACATTATTGTTTTGGCTATCCTATATTTTCTGCTTTTTTGTATGAAGTTTGAATATTGAATATTGGTCTGTGAAGAATTTGGCTGGGATTTTAATGGGCATTTGATTGAATCTGTAAATTACTTTTGGTAAGATTGCCATTTTTACTATGTTAAGTCTACCTACCAAAGAGCATGGAAGATCTTTCCACTTTCTGGTGTCTTCAATTTCTTTCTTCAAAGATTTAAAGTTCTTATCATACAAGTCTTCCACTTGTTTGGTTAGAGTTACTCCAATATATTTTATGCTATTTGTGGCTGTTGTGAAGGGTGATGTTTCTCTGATTTCTTGCTTAGCCAGGTTATTTGTTTTTTAAGACATAACTTTTTCCATGATATAATATACTATTATATATGCATAACAACAATTACCAGTGTTTTAATTTCTCCACATTCTCACCAGGTCTTGCAAAATTTTCTTTGTTGTTGTTGTTGTTTGTTTGTTTCTTTTTAGAGACAGGGTTTCTATGTAGCTCTTGGGCCTGTCCTGGAACTAGCTCTATAGATCAGGCTTGCCTCAGACTCATAGAGATCTGCCTGACTCTGCCACCTAAGTACTGGGATTGAAGGTATGTGATGTGGGAAGGTCATTTGTCAATCTGTTGTTTCATTGGTTAATCAATAAAGAAAACTGCTTGGTCTGATAGGTCAGAAAATTAGGTAGGTGCAGTAGACAAAACAGAATGCTGGGAAGGAGGGAAGTGAGTCAGACACCATGCTTCTCCTCTCTGAGCCAGATGCAATGAAGCTCTGGCCCAAGATGGATGCAGGTCAGACATGCTGAGTATTTCCTGGTAAGACACCACCTCATGGTGCTACACACATTATTAGTTAGTGTTAACTAACACATTATGGGTTAGTCGAGATGTGAGAGTGAGTCAATAAGAGGCTAGAGCTAATGGGCCAAGCAGTGTTTAAAAGAATGCAATTTGTGTGTTGTTATTTCGGGGCATAAGTTAGCCAGGCAGCCAGGAGCTGGGTGGCAGGAACACAGCCTGCAGCTCCTTCAACAGGTATTTACCACCACTACCCATCTGCAATATGTTCTTTAATATAGATAATAGTCTAAATTGTTGTTGACTATTTCTGCTTTAGATTTGAATTCTCCTAATGTTAGCGATATTTGTCATCTACCCATACATTTCTCATCTGTCTTCCTGTTTCACTGTTTGTCTATCAGTATATTCCTTCTGGAGAAAAGTCTATTCAAGTTCTTTACCTGTGCTTATGAAAGTTGTTGGAATTACTAATAATTATTTACGACATCCCCTAACTATGCTTTAAATATCTGTGCTATTAGTTTTCTCCCTTTTCCTCTACCAATACCTTATCCCCTGCTCCTTTTCCCCTATCTCTCTGTCTCTGTGGATTCTCTCAGTCAGGCTTTCTCACTTTTAATTTCTTTTCTGGTTGGTTCTCATGCACAGTCCATTGTCTTCTGCCTTGATCTGTGTTATTCCCTTCTCTTGGTTGTAGTTTTGTTGTCTTTCTGGTCTTCAAATGAAAGCAGAAATTTGCTCTTGATTATCTTTCCTGAATCTTTTATATCTGACTTACTCATCCATTATTGTTCCATTTGCTTGATTAAATCAGGCTCAAAATGGGATTTAGGGAAGAATGTAAGCTTCGTCTTCCTTTCTAGCCCCAAAATAATTCCTTCAGTTTTGAACAGTACCTTGGACTTTTCTAGCTAGAAGGAAATGGGAAGCTACAGGTAGATACAAACTTGCTTTAATCATCTGGAATTTTCAAAACCTTTAAAATTCTTCCTTTTTCCATAAAAAAGAATGCATAAAGTGATAGAAATCCTCCTGATCTCTTCTTTTTAAACATGTGTGCTGTGGGATAGCACTCTTATACACTGTAAAGACTTGTCACTCATTTTGGTTTAATAAAACACTGATTGGCCAGTATCCAGGCTAGAAGTATAGGTGGGGTGACCAGACTAGGAGAATTCTGGGTGGAGGAAAGGCAGAGAGATGCAGAAGTCAGCCAGATATAGAGGAAGCAAGATGAGAATACCTTACTGAGAAAAGGTACCCAACCACATGACTAAACATAGATAAGAATTTTGGGCTAATTTAAGTTGTAAGAGATAGTTAGTAATAAGCCTGAGCTAAGAGGCTAAACAGTTTATAATTAATATAAGCCTCTCTGTGTTTCTTTGGAACTGAACAATTGTGGGACCAGGTAGGACAGAAACTTCAGTCTACACATGTATATGTGTATGTATTGTTGTGTATATCTCTGTGTATGAGCTTGTGTATGCATGTGTGTATGTATTTGTGTGTGTGTTCTAAAACATAATGGTCACATTATCATACTATGTTATCATACTATGCTCTATTTCTCAAGTGGCTATTAGACTTCTTCCAGGTGATTTTCTTTTGACTGAGTGACCCTTGTAAATATAATTCCATATTATATTCCTTATTTCTTGACTTACATTCTCCATTATATCTGTTAAGAGATATATAACCATTCACAACATGTGACATTTGACTAAAGAGATTTACCAAATATACGAGAGTGTAATCTGCCAAACAGCCCATATCGATAGTAAGCAATAAACTACAATTTTCTAAGGTTCATCAGTGAAAATATTTACCTTGACTTTTAGTACACTTTTATTGTATAAGATTTACAAAAATGCTTTATCTAATGTCACAAAATCTAATGCTTTCTAATGTTATACAACAGAACACCCCACAGTTTACTCAATTTGGTAGGCTATTTTAAAATGTAATATTATTTAATCTCATGATTTTGTAAATCAGGAACTCAGCCAGTATTTGTCTCCAGTATGTGATTTCTAAACCTTCATATGAGAAGAGTAACTGGGGTTAAATTTGCTAGGAGCTCAGCTGAGCATCCTACAATTGCTCCAGATGGCTTCTGAGACTGGTTGGCTTAGATTTTCTCATACTAAGACAATATTGGAGCTCCAAGAAGCCAATGACTGACTATGCAGTCTCGTCAAATTTAGATTCAAATTTATCATAGGACCTCACATATCACATTTCATCATCAAAAAGTCAGCTTAATGGAAAAGGAAAGAAGTCACACAACTTATCAGTATGAGTCAACCCTCTTTGTTAAAACATAAACAAATTATCACTACAGTGGACAGTGTGTTTCAGGCTGCTTGGTAGTGGTGTGGACCTGCTGCATCCCTAGAGTTAGGGCAGTGAGCATACTTCTGCCATGTTGGAAAGCCAAACAGGGTGGGGCCAACAGCCAAAGCGTCACCTTTGGTCCTAACCATGCGTGCTTAGCATTTAAAAAAATTCTCCCTGTCAGATAATGATTACAGAAACACAATAAAGACAGATTCAGACAAAAGGACCTCTAAATGATTCACAATGTGTTTGATAAATATTCATAGGCTTGGGAGAGAGATGATAGACAGAGTCATAAATTAAAAGAATAATTTTAAGATAATAAATTAAGGTTCTTAAAAAGCAAATTGAGTAACAAAAATTATAGTAAGCCACATAAAGATGAAAAACATGCAGAGTCTGGATTATGTATACTATTGTGTTTTCTTTGAATTTTCAACTGTTAATGAACTAACTACAGGAAGACACTTGATTTTGGGAGCTGCTAAGCTAAACTAACATAAAGGTTTCTTGACTTCAAAATTTGGGTCTAACAATATGTTGCTTCAGAAAAAAAAAAGTTCTACTTTTATTTCCACAAAAGATAAAAAGCTGTGGATTCCTTCCAGGCTAATATGGCTTGATTGAGCAAGACCCCTGAGGTGTCTTGGGAGCAATGACCCAGGTGATGCAATATCCAAAATAGCTTCAAGGCAACTGGATAAGACACACAGACTTCTATATTCAAGATTTAACCATAATTCTAAATTTACTCAGGATCTCCATAAAATTACCAGAACTCCCAAGCAGCAGGAAGTAACATAAAAATCTGCACCCAAATTCCCAAAATATTACTTATAAATATCTGTTTTTATTTAAAGACAGTTGGTTATAAATTATTAATGGTCAATCTCTTTCTCAATAATGGGAATATAGTATAGAAATGATAAAAAGGTTGATTATTGAATCTACTTCAATCCAAAAAACAACTGTTAAGTGCAAAATACTTTACATTCTTTACATTGATATGTAAGCTCGGATGCCTGTTTACGGTGTTGTTCCATCTGCATCCAGCCTTACTGCTTGAGGTGCCACTTTTTTTGCAGGTATTTTAGCCATGGGTAGCAAGCTGTCCAGACCTCCAGCCTCCCCGCTGGGATGCCCTTTGGATGTCCTTCAACATTACACTTATCCATCACTGTCCAAAAAATGGCCCCATTAAAACTGTAAATGGCCATTTTGGGGTTCCAGCCTTTTGCCCTCTCATCTGCAGCTTTTTTTATGGCATGGCAGCTCCCCAACAGAACAGACATGTGATGGTCGCCATCTTGGCTGAGGGCCAGATGGGTCAGGTGACTTTTTCGCCATCTTGGCTGAGGGCCAGGTCACGTGACCACACTCTCCCGGTTTTACTCCCAGTTTTACCCTGCCTTCTCACCCAGTTTCCACTAAAATCCTTCTGTTAGCTCTGTTACTTATGTTTTGAGCAATGTCATGTCTCTGATAGGGCCCATCAGAGTCATCCACGTTGCCCAATTCCTGTTCACTCTTCCAATGCATAATAATACATAATAAATGTCCATTACATCTCATTTCAGACTACAAAATCATGAGTTTAATATTTTAAACTGGTACGTACTTTTAAGTCTCTTAAGCTGTTCTCTACCATTGTAAGTTCTGCCACTAACCTTATATTACAAGCAGTTTTTTTCCTTTTTTCTGCCTTTTTACAAATGTAAATCTTACCTGTTAAGTTGAGAGCCAGTGTGGTCAAGCTCAGACCCAACTTTCCAAACAAATTCAATACTATAGTTATACCTGATAAAAAGCCCTCAACTGCTCAGAGATCTGGGGAATGTGGTACTTAAGTATTTAATTATTAAAAACTTTTCATAACAAAAAAAAAAGAGACAGGTTGGCTTCTAGCAGCAGCTCTCTGCTCCCTCCAAAGAAGACAGAAGACAGACATGTACAGAACATCCTTCTGCAGTTCGCTTCAACTGCCAAGTGCTGACCATTGGGCAAACTGCCTTTTGTCCAAACTAAAGACCTACAGACATAGACGAAATTGCTGGAATCGACAGCCTAGCTGCTCAGATCAAGGTAGGTCTGTCTTCCTACAGATTTCTTAGCCCATAGGGTCTTCTGGAGCCTGCGCTAAACAGCAAAGGTCAAATGCAACCTTCAGCGACCATGGAGGATCCAAAAAGAGTAGCTCTGGGTGCCAACCAAATAAGTTCTCTGTCATTTTTTAATCAATAACTCAAGTAAAATCTTATCCTTCTCAAAGATCTCTGACAGTTTGACAGCGAGATGTACCTCACCAAACAAATTTCAAATCAAATTTATCTCTTATGCCACAGTCATTATATGTCTAAAACTTCTGTTTTCACAAACCCAAGGAGTTCTCGTGAGTTCCAGGGAGCCAAATTAAGAAATCCATCTTAAACAGGTCAGATACCCCCTCAATTCCCTGGTCCAAATTTTTTTTCCTTAATTTAACTTTGTTCTTTGTTCTGCCAATACCTTAGGGACACCAGACATTCCCATGCCACAGACACGGGATAAAAGCAAAGAGACCAACTATGCCAGGATGTGACCAGCACACAGCCTTCTCTCACCTCTCCCCCTCAAAGACGATGCCCACAATTAACTGGAAAGCAGTCTTAAAAATTCACCGCCCCAATTCCTTCAAACTGTGATGTCTAATCTCCTGTTTTTATTATAAGGAAGACCTGGAAATGTTGTGGTTTCCTGTCTCTGGGAGACAAGCCATGCCCACTCCCACTACCATCTTGTTCTCTTCTCTTTCTGTTCTCACGGGGTGCACACGGGTTTCTGTCTCTCCTCTCATTTTCTTTCTCTCCCTCTCTCCTGTAATAAATATTTTAGCTTTATGCCTATTTTCCGTGTCTATGGGTCTGTTTACATGCGCCCACCACTGTTGGGAATTTACAGCCGCTTGGCTGGCTTGGGGACACAGGACCAGCAGCAGCCAGCGTCTCTGGGCATATGGCGGGGCTGCCAGCCTGCCCGGGACTCGCCGTAATTTCTGAATAATAACAATAGGTGGGACAATTTTTCAAATTTCCTGTTTTATTGAAAAGTCTGCCAGATACTATGAGCATATAGGCTGGAGATTGATGCCTCAATGCTACAGAAGAACTTTGGGTGACTGTCTAGGTAGCAAGATGTCCCTATCCTTTCTAGAGTTTTAGAAGTTGTGTATAATGCACTTCCTGTTTATTTAGGTAATCTATCTTCTGGGTCTTTGATGGAGTTGAAGACTAGTTATAATTATTGTTTCCTTAGTTTTGATAAAAGATAAATTAGATATGAAACTTTAGACTCAGAAAGATAAGACAGATAATAGAGTATTTTCTTTAATTTCATCAAATTCAAATAAATATTATACCTGTAATCATTGCTTGATAACTGTTTTGTTATATGTAATTTTACTATGTTAAAGTTAAAATCCTCTCCTTTTTGATTAGACAGAAAAGGGGAATGATGTGGGATATCTCTTTGTATGCTGCAAATATGTTTTATTACCCATATACTAATAAAAAAGCTGATTTGGCCAATAGCCAGGAAAAACAGAGCCAGTTCAGAAATCCAAACAGAGATACAGAGAGTAAAAGGGAAGAGTCAGGGAAATGCCAGCAGCCACCAGAGAAATAAGATGTGAGTAATACCATGGCCATGTGACAATGCATAGTCTAATAAAAATTATCTCATTTAAGATGTAAAACCCAGTTAGTAATAAGCCTGAGACATCAGCTAAATAGTTTATAATTAATATTAAGCCTCAGAGTGGATATTTGGGAATTGGTGAGTAAGAGAGAAATCTCCAGTTAAACAAAACTAATAAAAAAATTACACCCAAATCTGACTCAGTGAACCAGTGGGTTTCCTAGGGTTATTTACAAGTGTGTTGGTGATCTGGAGATAGCATGATGGACAATTCTAAAAAACTGTACTTCTGGAGCTCTCTGCACAGCTTGCAGGCAGATCAACTGGCAAGAGTCTTCTCTCCAGTAACTGTTTGCTGTTTCTATTGTAGTAAAAGCATAAACGGTCCAGCCAAAGAAACCCACCCCAGCCCTGAAATCACAGGCAGTGAAAGAAACACACTTTACTCTTGGAACTAGAGCCAGTGAAAGAAATACACCATGATCCTGAAAATAGAGCCAAAAGGCTAAAAAAGGGCCAGTGAAAGAAAGACAATTTGGCTCTGAAACTAAAGCCAAACCTGCCCCTGACGAACTGAACACAAAATTAACCAGTCCCTGAGCAGGAAAACCAACCAATCCCTGAGCACAAAATCTCGCATCTCCACCCTGAACCCAGAGCCAGTGAAAGAAATACACCTTGGGAGCCAGTGAAAAAATACACACTGAACCTAAAAATAGAGCCAAAAGACTAAAACGGCTAATGAAAGAAATACATTTTGGCCCTGAAATCAAAGCCAAATCTACCCCCGACCAACTGAACATGAAACCAAGCAATCCCTGAGCATGAAATCTAGTATCCTGAAACCAGAACCTAAGAAACACACACTGACCCTGAAATCAGAGCTAAAGAAACACATTTTGGCCCTAGAACCAGAGTTAATTAAAGAAATATGACCTGGCCCTGAAAGTAGAGCCAAAAAGATAAAAAGGGCCAGTGAAAGAAATGCAGTTTGGCCATGAAACCAGAGCCAACTCTGCCCATGTCAACTAAACCAACTAATACCTGAGTAGGAAAACCCACCAACAGCTGAGAAGCCCTAAGAAGCCCTATATAAACCTCTCTGTTCAGTTGCTGGCTGTCCTTTCCTATCCTGGCAGAAGGAGCCACTCTCTTGGACTCCTCCTTTCTAAATAAATCCCTTTCTTAAAAGAGTTTTGGGTGGAGATCTTGTTCCACCAGTGTGGAGCAGAATCTTTGCTGATAAACTCCCTTGTGGGGTTCTGGAGTGAAAAAAGAAACAACCTATTGCCAGAGTCAGATTGAAGCAGAGAAAAGTAACACCTAGAGCCAAGCTGAGAAGAAATGGACATCTCTGTTGGGAATCCTCCTTAAAGGGAGATGAAGCAGAGATCAGCTGTAATGTTTCTCTTTTGGAGAAAAGCAGGATTGCTATATCCTGTGGGTAGATCATCCCCAACCGTACCCCAGCTTCAGTTATAGCCTGACTTCCTGACAAGTCAGGAGCCTTTCCTCTCAGAGCTGGCCTTTCACAGCTTCAGGTATAGCCTGACTTCCCAACGAGTCAGGGTATATTTCTCTCCATAATTGTAACACTCACATCTATACCTTGTGAAGGGACCCTGTGAATCTTGTACCATTTTGATCCCTGCCACTTACTATGGGTCAATCATTCAAACACATGAGTCTATGGGGGGGGGGGCATAACTATTCAAACCATGACAGCTGGCAATACCCATTTTTTTCTAATTGAAATGAAATAAGACTTTCACACACACACACACACACACACACACACACACACACACGGCCTGAAATATCAACCACTCTTCTAAACTTCTGGGAAGCTGCTATGGTTGGAATCCTAAATGTTTCCTAAGGTACGTGCAAGAAAGGCTTGACCTAGCATAGCACTGAGAGATGGTAGAGATAATAGGAAACAGCTGGTGGGAAGTGGTCTGGTCTCTAGGGCACCTCCTAGAGATAGTACTAGAAGGAGATAGTGAAAACCAACCTTTTCTTTTCCTTGTTCTCTGTATCTTCATGCCTTGGGAGTTTCACTCTGCCACAGGCTTCCACCATGTTGTATCCCAAAGCTCACAACAAACAGTAAATCCATCACAGACTGAAACCTCCAACACTGAGAGCCAGAGAGCCAAAACAAACCTCTCTCTACAACTTAATTATCTCAAGTATTTGTTTTTGTGATTGAAAGCCAACACAGGAGATCGTTCTATAATAGAAGATAGACAATAAACAAATAAACGAGGAAAAGAAAGCCAGATGCACACCTTTAATATCAGCACTCAGGAGGAAGGCAGATCTCTGTGAGTTTGACGTTACCTTGGTCTATAGACCTAATTCTGGAAAAGCCAGGGCTACACAGAGAAAATCAAATCAACAAACAAACAAAAAAGAAATTGGAATTGGCTTCTTTCATTGGGCAGTCTAGAAACTGTCACTCATAAGATTCAATGTAAGTTACAAGTGGTGTGGTGCTTAGCCAATCACAGGAGATCTAAGAAAACAACCTTCAAGGCAGATAGAAATGCCCTCAGGTATTGGTGACTTTGTCTGTCAGAACTGCAGAGAGAGATGTGAAGGCTATAAAATACTGAAATACTGAGTAGGAAGAAAAAAAAAGTTCTGTGACTGGAGAAAGAGGAAGAGCCAAAGAAGCAGAAAAAATAAACTTAGGCTTTATTTGTGTATTTTAATGCAGCATATTTCAAGGTATTTACTATGTAACCTTGATTTTTATCACAAGAGCAACAGGAAGCACAGAAGCAGTTTCAAAAGAGTTTAATTTTTTGCTTTATGCATCAATCTATTGGCTGCATGCAGAACAAAGTGCAGAAAGATTGCTGGAGAAAGTGAGAGGCTAGTTTAAAGACAGGAGAGTTTACAAAACAGTCCACATACTTCAAAAACAACTGAAGAATTGACAGTATTTCCTGACCCAGTAGACTTAAGAATGCAGCAGGAAAGGAAACAGTTAGGATCATTGTATGAGTTATTAACCATTGCATAATTCATATCTAAGTCAATTAGTTTATTTCTATATATAAACATATTTCTATGTTTTCTAGAGGCATATGAATAATGAGGTCATCTGCTTAGATATCAATTATCTTTAAGGTTCACGTCCTATAACCACTGGTATTTTCTAACAAATTCAACTTCATTGGGCCTATCGAGTGAGCCAGAGAAGTTAATGGTTTATGGATGAATGAGCTGTCAGTGAGGACACTCACTACAACATAGAATTAAAATGTATTGATTTATTTAGGAGAAAGAACTCATACTTGGTAAAATATGACAAATACAAGCTACTAAAGTAATGATATTTAGATTTCAGTATCATGTGGAAGCAAAATATCAATAATACTTCTCATTTATTATATAATGATCTCCAATACTTTCACCTTTCACTAGCAAAAGTTCATAGCCATAACTTGTAGCTCAATCTACAGCAACATCATTTTTGCAGAACATGGAGACATTTACTCTGTTCAGTTGAATTTCAAATATGTATCAATATAAAAACCCTGGAGTAATGATTTAGAAAAGAAGCTTAGAACTCATTGTAACTGATGAGCGATTAGCACTCTTCCTCACCATCCTTGGGCAATCTACAATAACCCAGCACCTGTAGTTTGTCCTTGGGCATTCATATAATTGGTCATGAATCATAGGCCAAAGACAATGACTATGTAACCCACTACAAGAGTCATAGAAAACACATAATAAATCATTTCACTTGGCTTTCTCCTTAGCAATGAGAAAAACAGAAAACTACAGACATAAAATGTCCTATCTGGTCTCTGGACTGTAACATTAACCTTTACTGAGCTAAGTCTACATGCTTAACTAAGTTAAGCAGAAGGTAGTTGATGAAAACTAATAATGAGACAGTAACAAGTAGGAATCCTGGTTCTGCTGTGTAGAGCATTGTGAGCCTTACATTGTTAAGGTCACAGTGAGAGAATCCTTATAAACATGGGGAGAACTAACTTAGATCACTGTAACTTAACCCACATGCCAAATTCATATCATTTATCATGGGCCCTCCACTGTTATTTTTTGACAAAACATCCATGATCAACTCTAGCTTTACATATGAACCTTTACGAATCTTACTGCGAAAAGGAAAGTCAAATTCTTTTTCTATATCTCCATCAAAAGTCCCAGAATGAATGCGACATACATGGATTGAGTCATGAGGACGAGATTAGACTGCATGGCTTCCCTGGATTAATGAAGACCATCCAAAGTCTCACAATTGAAAAGGACTGAGGAGGAGGAGGAGTTTGTTCTATATAGTATCATAAGTCTTCCATCAAACCCACATTTTTAACTTTATAATATACAACAATGCATTGTTATCTTGAAGAAGTTTCTAAAGTTGTCTTGTTTCAAATTTTCCATTACAAAGTAGGTATAATATCACTGCTTCATAAAGCTTCTATACAATTTTAATTAAATTATAAAAATATATATGAAACAAGCTTGGGCACATGGCAGGTACTGAGCACATGTTATTGACTTCTCAGTCATGCTGAATATTAGGATATTTACTTATACCTCACAACAGCTACAATATCTCCATTATTTCAGGTTCAGAGATACACATTTTTTCTATATTTCATAGGTCTTTACTCATTTATAATCTTGGTTCCATCAACCATCCATCTCACCTGAAATGCAGTATTATTTTTATAGTATTTTACCTATAATATATAGATAGAGATATTATAATTAATTAACATCTCTTTTGATGTGAAAACTTCTTAACTAGTGATATTTGAGCTTTATAAAAGAAGCTGGCAGTTCAGAGGTATTTGATCTAGCCATTACTCCAGGCCTGAAGTAAACTGGTTTTCAATGTGCATTTCTTCCAATCTGTGCTCAGTAAATCAGCCTTTAGAATGAAGTATTTAGCCTATTCCATGCTGTCCTGCCAGATTTGGTCCATTATTTTCAGGCATAGATAAGTTTTAACGAATATGCAAATTTTATCTATATTCCTTACTGCCTTTATTTTCAATAAGATGAAAACCAGGATGTCGGAGAAAATGAGTTCTTCAGGAAAACACACTCTGCAAAGAGTGGAATCTAGCTCAGTTGGGAAAGTGATTGCCTAAGGACCTGAATTTAGCTCCCAGAGTCCTGACTAAACGGTATCAAAGAAGTCTGCTCTGATGGCACATGCTTGTAATCTTAGTGCTTGAGAGGTGTGTTGCAGAATATTAGTTAAAGATGTGTTACAATTGTTTATGCTGTGGAGTACTTGTTTAATGATGCAATGATGTTTTCCATTCTTTTATGTTGCATTTGTTTAACTCTGTGAAGCTGTGTTATTTTTCCTGCCTAAGGCACCTGATTGGTCCAATAAAGAGCTAGATGATCAATAGCTAGGCAGGAGAAAGGATAGGTGGGGATGCTAGAGCGAAAGAATAAATAAAAGGAGAAGCAAGAAGAGGGAGGAGTGAGAGAAGATAGAGAAAAGACACCAGGGGCCAGTCACCCGCCTACACAGCAAGCCACTGAGTAAGGAGAAAGTTATATATAATAGAGAAAGATAAAAACCCAGAGGCAAAACATAGACAGAATAATTTAAGTAAAGCTGACTAGAAACAAGCCAAGCTAAGACTGGGCATTCATAAGAAAGAATAAGTCTCTGTGGGGGCTGGGTGGCGGGTTTCCCAAAGAGCAAAGAATAAAACAACAACAACTATAGAGGTGGAGACAGGAAGATCCCTGGGTCTCATTGGCCAATCAGACTGGACTGCTAGTTCTAGGCTGGAACAAAACCCTGTCTCAAAAAAATAGTAGACAGTACCAAAGGAATGATACTCAATGTTGGATTATGCATTCACACACACACACACACACACACACACACACACACACACACACACACACACAAGAAATAGAGAGAAACAAAGGAAGATAGGCAAAAGTCTCATCAACAGCATTCTAGACCAGTCTCAATAGAACTTGTATACTATCCTCAAACCTAGATGTGCACACCTTATGTGGAAAAGATTGTGGTAATTAAGCATAGAAAATTTTCCTATTTTTCATAAACACACAATTCTGCTAATTTTGTTACTCAGCTTTCCATCACCACTTCTCATACTATCTTCACAGTGAGAGTTTTTGGTGGGACTTCATTGTGAATATCAAAGCACTGAACACATAGCCTGTAGAAACAGACACATCCAAGCAACTAAATGTCAGAAAGTAAAAGCTTGATTGAAAAAATATATTGAATAGTTTTCAGAAAGAATCAATAAAAATCAAATTCAGACAAAGCTGAATTTAAAAACTAAAAATTTTGAAACTAAAAGCATTCTGAGTTGTAAGAGGCAGTAGTGGATTGTATTCACAGTGGCCCCACTGTCCTAGGGTATAAACCCACCTACCCAGAGAGTCTCCCACACAGGCAAATGCCTAGTGGGACTTAGTTACCAACACTCAGTATGAGTGCATATGTCATGCTCTAGAGACTTTGAGAACACTAAGAAGAGGAGGACACAATGGCTTAGTCCCTGCCTGTGTAGGTAAGAGGGGGGCCTCAAGAACAACATGACATGATTATGTCTGCAATTGCAGAGACTGACAAACCAGTACCAACAGTGATTATCTCAGCTATCAATATCCATGGAAATCAAGGACTATATTGATAATGACTAATTTTCCATCATTTATCCATAACTCATAATTATGGAATTTCTTATAATGAGTATGATTGGTTTAAAACATAAAAATAGTCATAAAATTAAATACATAATTTACTTCATTATTCCACTAAGCAGAATTGTTGTCTAGCACATTCTTCCCAGTATAAAAGCAACAACCCTTTAAAGCAAAGTTGGGAATAAAGTAGAAGGATGAGGAGAAGGAAGTGGGGAAACAAAGGAGAAGATGAGGTGGTACTATAAGTCCAGTAAGCCTTATTCCTTCCTCGATGCCTGCCTGCTGCCATGTGCAGTAACATATCACTCTCAGCTGTTCCAGCAGGCACAGGAACTGATTAGAACAATACTTGACAGCAAGAGAGCTGCACAAACAAAATCATGCTGGAGATTGCCCGTGTTGAAGACTACATGAGGATCAGAGAGGTGATTACAAAGAGTAATTTCAATTCCTCCGAATCCACCATCCCCAAAGCTGGTTCTAAATTCTATTCAGAGCAGCAAACTGTAACAGCCCAGATAAACACATTTCAGAAGGAAATAAACAGAAAGTCCTACACCACTGAGCATATTCCCAGTGCAGCAACATTGTTGAATTTTTAACACTTGAACTTTAGAGCAAGAGAGATTAGGTTTATTTTGCTTCTCCAGTTTATACTGAGAGAGTGTGACAACAACAAGATCTCCCTAGATGAACCCTTGCTTAATTAGCAAATACTTTGGGTCTGTTTGTCAGGACATCATTCCAGAACCAAAGGTCACAGCGTGTGAGCAGGCAGCAAAGGTCTGGGTTTGTAACTAATGTGAAGCCAAACAGGCCCCAGAGGCTTTTGCCAGAGTATAAAGGAGTCCTGTTGAAGCATGTTTCTCTTCACCAACTCAAAATCTGCCTGACCAAAAAGAAACAGAAAAAGAAAAAAGAGGGGGATGACACAGGGGAAGACAAAACCTTAAATCAGTACGCCATGGAAGTAACTGTTTATATACAACTACAAGGAGAACTGAGCAGAATTGGAGATACCCAGACATGGCACACTTGGCCATCCTAGATGCAAACACATGGAGAGCAAACGAAGAAAGAAGGATGCCGACCCTAATGCCGGGAAGTAAAGAATCTTAATAAAGAAGGTGATGTTGCCTTTCTCCCTCCTACATTTGATCTCTGGTGAGGTATAACCACAAAAACTTCAAAACAAAGATACCAGGCATCTAAGAATATTTATTACTCTCTACAACATCAAAATTAGCTTGTTAAACTTGGTAGGACCTTTGGAAGAATAGCGAAAATTTATATGCTCATCAGAGTTTTGAGGTTCATTATTATCAGAAACCTTGAGAAACATGGTATTATTGCAGCAGCAGTATTGGGTTTGGACCTTATACAACAGGTAGACTTGGCAGACACTACAGAAAGCCACACAGTGTGAAGAAATAGGAACAGATTGATTTTAGAACACAGGAAATTCTGCATAGAGTGGAAAGTCTGAGGTAAGACAGTGAGTCATTTTGGACTTTAAGGTAAAAAGTCTAGAATCAAAATACTGCTCTGGGGAAGTGAATTTGACATCAGGCTTATGGTCAATGAAGTAGAGACTCAGACATGAGGTGGCCCTTTAAGAAGCAATTTAGCCCTATGAGAAAAGTTTGAATACCGTAGCAAGAATATGGAATATGGGGAATATGAAACAATCAGAAAGATATGTTACATTGTAAATCTGCAAGATATTTTAAAAACTCGGGGAATAAATGAGAGGCCTGGATTCTTTGAAGCTCATGCATAAAATGAAAATCCCTAGAGAAAATGTGGGAAGGTAGGAGAGCTGAGGGAAGATTTTAGAGAAACTAAGATACTCTAATGTCCTAAACAAGTGAATGATTAAAAATGTTATAATTATTGAACTGAAAAGGAGGCAATGTGTAAAAAAGCAAGAAGCTAGTGATGGTTCACTATAAAGATAAAGAAGCAGATTTTTAAAAAATAATGGTGGTGGTTGGGGTGGTAGTGGTGGTGGTGGTATTGGTGGTGGTGGTGGTGGTGGTGGTGGTGGTGGTGGTGGTGGTGGTGGTGGTGGTATTGGTGGTATTGGTGGTGGTGGTGCTGTTTGGGGTGGTGGTGATGGTGGTGATGGCAGTGGTGGTGGTTGGGGTGGTTGGGTGGTAGTGGTGGTGATGGTGGTTGGGGTGGTAGTGGTGGTGGTGATGGTAGTGGTGGTGGTTGGGGTGGTTAGGTGGTAGTTGTGGTGGTGGTGAAAATGATGACTGCTGAACAATGGTACACAATGCTGCACAAAGTTCTTGCCAGAACTTCAAGAGGAGGCTGGGACACAGGACCCCCAAAAACCTTCATCTAGCTAGTCTTCAGTTCTGAGACCACCACAGTGTTGATGTACAAAGTCTTGTATGGAGAAAGGAAATACATTGAAAACCATCAGGATTTCAGAACCCCAGATGTAACCCAGCCCAGAAACCCTAAAAATCTGGCCACAGAGACTGGCATGAATGATTAAGCAGAGATCAGGGGAAATGTCAAAAGGAAAGAAACGGAACTTGTAAAATTCCTGTTCCAGCAGGAGGGTTCAACAGGTAGTTTCATGTTGTCATTGCAGAACATATTTGGTCCTAAACAGATGACGCGTCTGAACAAACAGATGATTGGAAAGTCCGGAGACTGAGAATTCTGGTTAAAGGCAGATCAGAGGTTAAAGAGCCTCAGTAATATGCATGAGTGACAGTTTGATCACGTTTGGAGTGAAGGAAAAGAGAACAAACTGATGCTAAAGCCAAAGATATGTTGAAGACCATATCTTTATATTTATCTTATTTATGTTCATGTTTGTTTAGGATAGGAATGTCAAATTGTCTGTTGAATATTAAATTAACCATTTACTCCCCAATACCAGGACTTGAATTTAGTGCCAGGCACATGTCAGGCAAGGACTCTACCACTGAACTATATCCCCAGACTTAAATTATCTACTTAAAAAGAAACATAAATTAGATGCAGAAAAACAAGTATCTTTTTTTCTCTCATATGTGAAATTTAGAACAAAACCCTAAACAAAAACACAAAAGTAAATGATTGTTAGAGAAGAAAAGGAGAGGATAATGGAAAAGTTGGTATAACAAAAAATATATCATGTGTATGAATAAAAAATACTACAACAAAACACATCATTATATATAATTAATGTACACAAATGAAAAAGAAAAACAACCTAAATAAAAATATATCATATATGCAAACTAAGAAGGACTATTAATAAAACATAATGTACAAAAGATTAAAATGAATACCAGTTACCAGACATAAAAGGTTAAAAAGCAAACAGAAGATAGTTAAGAAACACAACCGAAACGTCCTTGGCAGGGGAGATGTTACACGGTGAATATAAACATGTTGGAAGGTGAGAGAAAAGAAGTTCACACAGTCATTGCCAGGCAGCCTTATTCTTTACGATGAAATCTTATTTTCTATCTTCTGCTAAGATTAGTAAGACAGAGGGGCAGACCTGCCAGCTCAAAGTGAATGCTAAATACAGAGAACGGTGTGTGAGGAAATTAAAGTGATATGAAATGAATACAGCGAAGAGCCTGAGGTGAGGGAGGTGGGGTGATTCTGAGGAGATTCAGACAGAAGCACAACACAGCTTTCTTCTGCAGCATTTGACAATTTGGGGATGCAGGATTAGATGATGCTCATGTCTCAACATATAATGACACAGTTTCATTTTGTTCCTTCCTCAAAGACCCAAGTACATACTATTACGAGATCATAGAACCACTAACAAGTGAAGTATATATAAGTTCAGAAAGACTTAAGTCATTGGAAGGTATGCCCCTGAAGGGGATGATTGAGTTCTGGTCTCTTATTCTTTCTGTGTTTTGTCTCCAGAGGTAAGCAGGTTTGTTTCATCGCACATACCCTTCACTGCCATCCAGCCACCCTATCAGTGACTCAACGCCCTGATTCTATCTCAACTTGAGCTAGAATCCCCCAGTCCATGATGCAGACAAACCTCTTTTCTAAGTACATTAGCTATCTCCAGTCTGGTAGATCAGTGTTCCCTCTGGATGTTGAATTTTTATGGATGCACATTTTTGGCTCTGCTGTACTGGAAATTTAATCAGCATAGGTGTCTACACTTTGTTGTTCTCATGTGTTACCTGTTGTATATTTATATCTCAAGGAGTTTTTTTTCCAAGAAAATAGAGACAGGAAGTAATATGTCAAGGTATTGTGTAGTGTAACAATCTATCTGCTCTGGGGGAGGGGGGAGGAGTGTCGTCACAGCAAATCCAAGATCCTGAGCAGTGGAAACATTTTACATTTCTCACAAGGACACTTGCCTTGTAAACTGTGTGATTGTGGATCTTAAAGCTGCAGTTCAAGGCAAAGGGTATCTCATAGCTACCAGATACTCAGGTCCATCTCCTGCGACAATGTATTCCCCAGATTTCAAAAGGAAATGATTCACGTAAAGAAACTTATTCAAAGACTGGCCAAACTGGGAAGAGAGAAAGAAAACTAATTTCTTTGTTATGGTAGTCTTAAATTTTATAGACCACCATTAGACAAAGTCAGAAGCTAAACAGGGTTAGCTATGAGACACTTTAAGCCGCCCTTTTATGGGGGAAGGTAACTGGGCCCCAGACTACCCCATCTTTCTGTCCTTAGCAATCTGCCTACATTTGCAGAATGGAGGATCCATTGTATTTTTGTAAGTTGCAGTATTACGGAAACAATTTTTTATTCAAGTCTTGGCCTAAAGAATATGGGAAAAGCATTTTATCATACAGACTTCCCATTCTGGGGTTTTAAAATTAGTGTAGTGAAAATCTCCACCCATTTTGGATCTGGAAGCTCTTTGTCTCCAGGTCCTATCTTCTTGATAGGGAAAACCTTTTGTAACCTTTTTGTGGAGGTCAGGGGCAAGCTCTGACTCCTACTACCTGTTAAGGAAACAGACTCTACATGCATCAAAATGGTGATAATCTGATAGGGAACAAGTTTCTCTTCAGAAGTCAAGAATATTTCTCTGTCTGACCAAGGTTCTCATTAGAGATCACTGCTATAGTATCAGATTTACTGAAACTATGGTAAACAGCGTGGGAGGTGTTCACCATGACTATGGTGTTGGGGGACACAAGCAAAGCAACCTCACATAGTGCAACATAGGATGGCGGAGAATATAAGGAAGGACAACTTAAAAACTGTATATCCTACCTACCCTATTAAGATAACAATGTATTCATCCAGCAGAAGATTAGTTCCAATGGCGGTGTGAATGTGATTGGCTCCCAAAGGTTTAGTCAACAGGTAGTGGAACTGTTTGAAAAGATTAAAAAGATTAGGAGGTGTGGTATTGATAGAAATGTGTTACTGGAGATGGGCTTTGAGGTCTCAAAAGTCCACACCAGCCCGAGGCTCCCTCTTTCTTTCTGTCTATGGATTAGGATGTAAAACTCTCATCTAGCTCTCCAGAACCATGTGTTGTGCCATGTCCTGCTATGCCCCTGCCATGATGACAATGAATTGATCTCTAAAACTGTACACAAGCCCCAATTAAATGTTTCTTTTATAAGAACTTCCTTAGTCATAGTGTCTCTTCAGAATAGAACAGTGACTAAGACAGTTCCCAAGGGGTAAAAACCAAAACTGCAACATCCGTCTGGTTCCCAGACATCCACTAATACTAGAACAATTCAGATATAATGACAGTCAAATTGACTGTGGTGGGAAAAGCATCTAGATATCATTCTATCACCAATGAAAGTTTCTCCATTCTATATTTCTCTCCCACAATTCTTTGTACTTTCTTCTACCACAATTTCAAAGGTAGTTGGGGAGTTTTAGCACTCCCCATCAAGTTGTGATTGGACTTTTCACATTGTAAATTGTGGGTTAGCAGCTGTATACAAAACATTCAGAGTTGAAAATACAAAACTTGATGTTTATTTTTTTCTTAATAACTATTTCCTGTACTTTATGCCACTTCTTAACAGTATTTTAAAATCCTAAAATTAATGAATACATTGAAGGTTTTTACCTTCCACTATGTACCATGAAGTCTTCTGTTTCCTATTATCCTGGCCTCATACTATCATCACAGATGTTGACCATGTCCACGCTTTGTTATTCATGGCTTAGCTAACCCCCTTTCCAAAACTTAGCCTTTAAGGAAGGAAGGAAAAGAAGGAGGGAGGGGAGAGAGGGAGGGAGGGAGGAAAAAGAGCTTGTTCTGATATCAGTGGAGTAGATGTAATGGGTGAGGCTCATCAGTTACAAATAATTCTCTTGTTTCTTGTAAGTGACATCCCAGGAACACCCAGAAAAATCTCCTTCAGCCAGGTGCTGAAAGCAAGCAGTCCACAAAGACTGTGATGCTATGGCCATAGACGTGCCCCCAGCCCTGACTACTCTGATATTACAGTTCAAACATCTCTAAGCCCTGGCCAAACCCTGATATAAAATTGAACTATCAGGCCTA